AAATTGTTATTGTTAACTTTTATAAACAAGTGATAAGGATGGAAGGATTTCATGACGTAGTTTTTTCATCTGCCTTTGATTATTTAGTAATACATGAGAAGTAAGCAAAGGCATTCATGGTGAAAAATAAGAATTTTAGAAAAGTTTGGTTATAAAATTTTTTTAATCGTAAAGATGACCATCAAAACTTGTTTATGTAATGCCATAAAATTTATGTAGTTACTTTTGTTAGGGAAGTAAAACATCATTCACCTTACAAATATGAATGGATATGGCTCTAACTTGAGAATGTTGAATGTATTTATTTATAAAATAATGAACATAGCTCTAACTTAATTGAGAGAGTAGAATGTTTTCGTTTTGGAACAATATTATTATATTAAAATTTTGAGTGATGATTAATTTTCTTTTTATAGATATGATTTTAATTATTTTATGATAGTTATTTTTAAATTTATAATGATAATATTATATATATGATATTACATATAATATCATATAAAAAAATTTAACATTGAAACACAACTTTTATAGTTATAAAAATTTTGAGATGTGTTATGGTGAAAATTTTGAAGATTAACCATGGTAAAAAAATTTTTTTGATAAAGTGATCTAAATATCAAAAATATATTTGCTCCAATGTCATCCAAATAATAGAAAATATTTGATTTTTTAAAGAAATATCTTTGACATAAAATATCTTTTTTAAAGAAATTAATTTTCAATTACCAAATGAAATCTAAACTAAATTTTTGCAAACTCTCAACTATCAAATCATCCAACCTTTAACAACAATCCACATAAATAAATAATGACAAAGTTTTCCTTAAGAATGAAAAGAAATTTAACCGAATACTATGCTAGTAGTATATGTAATTGCCTCTCTAAATTTTTAAGTTTTTTCAACAAATGAGATTATTAATAAATGAAAAAAAAGGGTGGCCAAACCTTTAAATAAAGAAGCATTTGATCAAGAGCTATTCTCAATGGATTGATTCTTTTGACAAATTTTCTTAGATTTTAATTCATTAATTAATTTAGTACTTGAAGTTCCTAACTTCTTTTAATTAACTCCAATTTAATTAGACCATATTAATCTTTTGCAAGTCATGTTTTCTATATATGTAACCTATTAGATTCCTTAACATGTTAATAAATATAAGTATTGTAATCCTTAATAATTTTGAATTAGATGAATCAAACATTTTGAGTTCATCATTAATTATGTAATTAATCAATTTTATGTTTATAACTCATGATTATCATATAGCAATGAATAATGACCATCCAATTATTACGAAAGGCTAGTAAAGTTTGAGTGCTTAGTTTTTTGGTGTAGGTGTTATCCTTTTATCTTTTATTGTCTTGGTTTAACATTAAGTTTATATTAATATCTACTTAATTTGTTTAACCATAATAAGCTTCAAGTTAGATATTAACTTTTTAAATAAGCTTTAGAACAATTCTAAAATTTTATTTTATTTTTGTTAAAGATTTCTTTAATTAATTCTTATAAATAGTATTTTAAATATTCTTTCAATCACTCAAAGTAGTGAATCTTATCTCAATTACTCATGTATCATCATGTGTCTCATGTTATATCTAACAATATCCAACTAAAACATCCATGATTAGGACTATAAAGAAGGTAGAATCAAGTCAAAAGATCAACAACTTATTAGAAAATTTAAGTAAATTCACAAATCAATAATCACGTTTTTCAAACATCTAGAAATTTACATTTAATAGATGTTAGAATAATAAACGAATAAAAAAAAGTTTAAACATAACCATGCTAGGGGTTATTGCCATTTTGTGCCTGTGTTATGTCATGTTGTTCACCTCCTTAAGTAAAAGATTCTAAATTTAAAAAATGTAAAAATATTATATGTTGCTTCTAATTTTTTCAATCAACTTTTTGTTGGAGCGAATGCTTTAACAAACATTGTTATATCCTTTAATTAGTTCACAATCTTTTTGCATCTTAATGTCTTGTGTTAGTAGTTCCTTTTTCTATCTATTTGAATAACGCAAGTTTTTGAATAAAGCAAGTTTTAGTAGAAATATTTTTACATAATCCCGCAAGGTAGCTTTGAGTCTTATGCAAAGTACCTTGATGTCTTTTAAAAATGCTTATCATGCTAGAACGAAACTATTCATTAGACACTTTTTAATAAACAACCAAATAAAAAGATAGTTTAGTGAAATTTATAATTTATCTATAATCAATTTATTTATAACAATAATTAAAGACAAGGTTTTGGAAAGTTTGTGGGTTGACACTTGGCAATTCAATTGGCTTTCATTTGTCAAGACCCCATGAACTTTTTTTAAATAAAAAATATAAACAGAAATATTAAGAATAATCAAATAATTTAGTATAAAATAAATCAATGAAAGCTTTAATATCACTTGATCATGTTAAGAACATGTAAATGTATAGGAATTTAAAAATTTTCAACGCTCAAAAAAAAAATCATACATTAACATCATTGAATATAACCATACATGGTAATCGATAAGATCAAAAAATCATTTATTCTGTCTTTTTTGATTCAATAAACACAAATTCACTAATAACATCACATTAAAATTTTGTAAACTCTCTTATAAAAGTCTGTACAAATATGAAACGAAAAAGTTTTCTTCAAGACTAAAAAAAAATAGACTAAATACTATGCTAGTAGTACATGTAATTGCCTCTCCAACTTTCTAAGTTTTCTCAACAAATGAGACAATCAATGAATGGAATAAAGATGGGTAGCTAATGTTGCTTTAAATAAAGAAGTATTTGGCGAAGACCTTCTCAATAGGTTTGTGCCTTTTTACTATTTCTCTTGGATTTTATGAAGTCTAACTTAATTAGTTTAATTTAATCTTTCACAAGTCATGTTCTTTATATGTGTTACCTAATTAGAGTCTTTAACAAGTTGGTAATAGATATAAGTGTTGTAATCTTTAATTATTTTAGATTAGACAAATTGAATATTATAACTTCATCGTTAATTCTCTAATTAATTAATCTTATATTTATAAATCATGGTTGTCATCTAACAATGAGTCATGGCCATTCAATTATAAAAAAAAAAAAAAGTCAATATGTTTGAGTGCTAGTTTCTTCGTATAATTGTTATCCTTTTATCACTTTATTTCATGGTTTAATATTGAGTTTAGGTTAGTGTTAGCTCAAGTTGTTTAACCATAATAAGTCTCAAGTTAGATATTAACTCTTCAAATTAACTTTAAAAGTATTCTAAACTTCATTCCACTTTCCTGAAAATTTCTTGAATTAATTCTTATCAATACTAATTGAAATATTTTCTCGATCACTCAAGATGAGGAATTCTATTTTTATTACTTATTTATTTTCATATGTCTTATATTATAACTATCAATACCCAACTATGACATCCATGCTTAAGATTATAAGTATGGTTAAGACAATAAGAGTCTTAATTCTAAGAAAGATATTTCTAATTTTGAATCAAATTGTGAAGGAATTAAATATGTTTTCAATACAACAAAAATCTAAGTAAAAAAATAAATGATTAAGTCTTTTTCTGACAAAAAGCTTTTTCAAGAAAATAAATTGAATTTTTAAATACTATTGAAGTGAAAAAATATTTTTAAAAATTTTACTAGATTGATAGACAAATCTTAGAAATTATTTTCAATATTTAAATATTTAATAGAAGACTATTAGAATCATAGACAGTTAGAATAATTTAAAATCAAGTGGTATCCTTCTTGGACAAACTCGTAGGAGTGCTATAACTTTCTTCATATGTAACCGAACTCCTGAACTTAATTTTAATATATAAACTAGAACCTATTTTTTAAAAACATTAGTTAAACTTAGGACATCCTTAAAAAGAATAGTTTCACCTAGGTAGCCAATCACACTTCAATAAAAAAAAATTGATGGTAACTTCTTAAGTCATTTCTAGCTGTAGATTCACGGATCTATATGTTATGACAAATACTACTTGAAATATTCTCTCGATCACTCAAGGTGAGAAATTATATTTTGATTACTCATGTATTTTCATATGTCTCATGTTATATCTATCAATATCCAACTATGACATCCATGGTTAAAACTATAAGTGAGATAGAATCAAAGTATAAAATTTCTCATATAAGATTGATAATAATCTCAAGTAAAAGATCATTTATACACTTACAACATTAGAATATTGCCAAAGACACTAAGTGATTTACCAAATGACATTTTTATGCTAGATCGTATTTAATGAATTTGTTTTTTGTAACAAACATTAACAAAATAGTTGAAGTTTATTTAAACTTCAATATATGAGATTAGTTGTTTGCGTCAAAAGTAAGAGCATTACTATGCTTAGATCTCAATAGCTTTATCAATGGCCTATTTTAATAAAATATTGATTAGGAACGATTTAAATAATATAATTTTGATGGAATGACAATCTTATAATCACAGGTCTTTGTAATTTCTCTACAAATTTTGTTTATTAACTCCATGAACTTTAATTAAAGTAAATAATATCAAATTTATTATATAAAGAATATTTTAATTAATAAAAATAATACTTAATAGTATAGGTATCCCATTATTAATCAATTTACATGGTGTAAAACTAAAAAGTGTTATACATTTTTTTTAACCATTGATTTTAATAAATAAAAGGATAAGAGAGATAAATAAAAATAAGAAAAAATTGTTTAATCTCATCCCTTAGATATATTAAAATTAATGGTTAAAAAATAAGTAAAACTTTTTTAGTTTTATTCCATATAAGTTGATCCATCTTTTATATATATATATATATATATATATATATATATATAAATAAGGGCAAGATCAACTTATACAATAATGTAATATTTTTAGTTTTATACTTTTTTTTTAGCCATTGATTATAATAGATCCAAAGGATGAGAGAGATAAGCAAAAAATAAAATTTAATCTCATCCTTTGAATCTATTGAAATCAATTATTAAAAAAGTGTATAAAACTAGAAAGTTTTATATTGATTTAAGTTGATCTCTCCCATATAAATATATTTACATATATATGCATGAGATATGAGGATGAGATCTCAAAAATCAGAGATAGCCAATATATAGCCTACATTGTTAACCGGAGAAGATGTTTTTTCCTGGACTCACGCTTGAGTTTGACCAAATGGCTCAAAACTTTGGCATAGCGACTCATCATTCCTTTGAGCTTCAATCCATTATCTTGTTGATTTTTCTTCACCAGCTGAAGCTGTTTCTCTTCTTCCGTGAAGTGGTGACCCAGTGAAGTACTACTCCTGCAGCTGCTCCCTGATCTGCTGATTGCCTTTTCGTCCCCATTGATGAGTTGCTTTAAGCTTTTACGATCACTTTCTAATTCCTCTTCATGATGATCACCTTTGCTTGGGGAGCTTTGATCAAATATACTAGCAGTTGTATGACTGTTTTGATGAATAGCTTTTTCTTGGAGATTCAGTGGCTTCCTGGTTCTCTTGGACATCGTAATGTCATAATGGAGCTTATTACTTGGATTGCACTCACTGCCCATTTTCTCCAAAAAGACACCGGTTAAAACAAAGCATACATGGAGATGGGAATATGGAAGTGGATATGAATGAAGAATTAAAGTTGTGGTTATGGTGAGAGAGAGAGGGTTTACTTGGTGAGCAATTTAATTAAGGGGTAGTTTAAAGGTGAAAGGTCTCTCTCTTTCTCTCCAACCTAAAGATTAACCCTCCCCATCTACATGTAGCTGGTAAGATGCAGCAAATCAGAAGGTGATATATTACCAACCAACTTCTATAATTCTCTTTGTCTTCCCTCGTTTTCCTCTGCAAAGGGTAAAATAAAATAAAATAAAGCATGAAACATTATACTTCAGACATTTGAGAGCAGCATTGTTTATTTAATTATGAGACCTTTTGCTTTCCTACTTCTAGAATATTTTAATTATCAATTGATATGGATGTTAATATTACATCCTCAATATTATATTATTAAAAAAATATTTATAATTAAATTCAAATTTTAATTCATTTAATTTATACACTTACCATTAAAAAATACACCAATCCTTTTTCTTATATTTATGTTATAATCTCTGTTGTATCAATAAATAAATATATAGTTATTTATAATACGAATGTGATCTAAAAATTTTGATTTTCTATTGCATAATATTTTATACTTGGATTTGCTAATCTATATTTTCCAGGACATTGATTAATTTGATTTGAATGCTGGTTGGAAAGAAATTCTTATCGTATCATCGTGTGTTTTATCATTTGATTCAATGATAAAACATGTTATAGAGTGATAAGAATTCCTTCTCACGATCATTCAAATGAAATGTAAAATTATTATATGATGTAAGATTACTTAATACATTTAAAATTTATCCACAAAATTAAATCATTATTAATGTAGTAATATTAGGAAATATCTTTGTACCTTAAACCTTTTCTATTGGACTATTTGAACCCTAGGCGATATCCCCCTCTGTCCACAGATCAGTGCCTCTGGCCGCCAGCCCTGGCCGCCCAGCACCAGAGTAGGCTATAGAAGCTAGATATGGCACATAATAGCATCAGGTCCAGAAGTCGATCAGGCCCAAACTCGTCGTCAGCCATGTTTTTGGGCTCAAATGATGGCGTATCTAGTGTCTAGGGGCTCCAATGTGGAGCCTGGACCAAATCAGGCCACTTTTCGCATCAACAAAAACAAGATAAAAACAACGTAAGTGAGGTTTGATCGTGGATGAGTCAGGAATAGAAGACATCCTCATCGGACTCCTAGCACAAGTGCAACTATGCCAAGTGAAATACCATTAGTTTTCTTCCATCAACTGCTAAATGTAACAAATATACATTCAGGTCGAAAACCAAAAACGATTTAATTCTTTGTTCAACGGAACCAAAAGGGCATTCTCTTGGCTTTCTATGTCTGTACAGCTATAGTGGGAAAAGAATAAAAATTCTGTTAAAAGCAAAATGCTAATCTAGGTAACTAGTCCTGATGATGCTTTCGCAATGATTTTTAAATCGTACCTCTTTTCCGAGTTTCTTTACAGAGGGAAGAACATAATCAACATAGATAACGGCGTATCTTTTCAGGTTCACCTGCATAAAATTCTGTGCTTGATTATTTCAGAAGAGGCAAGTTTTACCGGCCATGACTCCTTCCCAAATGCTGAATAATAAAAAAAGTAGCAAATGCAGGTGCAAAAATGAATCAACCATTCACCTGTCAACAAAAATGATACAGAGAAGCTGAGCAGAAAAAGATATGATACAGAGAAGTTAAGAAGAATCTGTACTAGAACTAGGTGGGATGAACATGCTGTTTCTTAAACTACTGTAATTTAGTCAAACACAAATAAACACATTATATGACAGCTCAAACATAGGGATAATTCCATTTGGCCTTTGGTGCATTTTCCCTCTTCAGTACTTAGTACAATGCATTGGAACATCAAGTTAATTAAAAACACTACCTAGTGAAGGATAAATCAAAGTGACTTAGTAGATTCTCCACTCAATTCCCTTCCAACCAGCTTCAATATCTCCATAATCTGAAACAAGCAAAACAATATACTTAAAACATCAAATTTTGAATGCATAGATGACAAGTATACAGAAATTATGTGCATGGCTAAGCTACTATGGAATTATCAGAACATCACAACAAGTTATTAAATCTTCATATTTATTTTTTTTCCATTAAATTAACATTCAAGAATACATACAAAGAGCAAAGCAATAAACTAATTATTTATTCTTACTCCTCTATTATCAAAATGACCATGCAACAGGTTGAAAATTGCATAAATATGCAATCAAAGGTATTTAGATATGCTAATTTTAGTTAACAAACCAATAAACCAGCACGTTTTAAGTAATCCAAGCATGAATTAGCTAAGACCTTTTTTTTCTTTCCTTAATCATTATTTTTGCCTTCTTGGCAAATTCAAGTATAAGCTTTGTAACTGGAGTCATCTGTCATTTCTTTCTTTCTTTCTTCTTTCAAGGGAAAGTTAGAGGGTGGTAGATTTGAACTCAAGACATTCTTTTGGTAGAGAGGTGACATATGGGAATTTGTCCTATGACAGTCATCACATTAGAAAGATAGTTAGGAGAAGATAATCTACGGATTCAAAAGTATTTAATTCTCGGAAACTTACAGAAACACTACTGTAAACATTGTCAACAACATTAAGTTTAACCCTTCACCTTTAAAACCAAAAGTTTATTGGAATTCCTTTTTGCCATAAATAGGAAGAAATAAATCTGAACAGAGTGAGGCACATTTTTGGAAAAAAAGTAAAAACCAAAACAAGAAAGACAAAGTTATGTGAAACTATGATGGAAAGTACAAGTTATTCAAATACAAGATTATCAAAGTAGCATTTTCTTAAAGAAGAGTTTTACTTTACCAAAGATTAGGGAGAAAGAATAAAAAAAATGAAGGATAAAAATCAAAAGGAGAGGGAGGGGGAATAGAACAAAAATAAAATCAATAAGATGTGGTACCAGTAACGAAATGAAATTCAAGAAAACTTGAAACTTTTCCAAATTAGAAACTATTACAGTAAATAGAAAACTCCAATTTGTTTTCTTCTCAAAAAAATTTTATATGCCAAGGGGGGGGGGGATGGGTTGAAAATTTGCCTACACAAGAGCAAGCATTGAGTATTGAAAAAAAAAAAAAAAACAGAAAGAAATAATTTTCTATCTAATCTCTGGCCAATTTTGAGATTCAGACAAGTTTATGAACTTAAAAGTCGACAATTATTTACATACTACAGCACCTCAAACATTATTTTCACACACAGTACATGTAAATAACAGTGTTTCCATGAACAATGGATGCTGAGATGTTAGATCCAAGGTCTTGTTAGGATTAGAGTTTTTTATTATGAGTATTTTGGTTAATTTAAATGGTAAAGTAAACCTCCATCTGGTTGTTGCTTTTACTACTCGCCTTTTGCTTTTCAAAAAAAAAAAAAAATTGCTGTGAGGTAAAGGCAAAAGAAAAAAGAAAAATCATCTCCATCACGTTGGAAACTCCATGGCATGATTCAGATTGATAAAAGTATGTCAGAAAACTGTGATGACCTTGGAAACTCCATGACATGATTCTTGTATATTCCTTTGTCACATAACTTTTTGCCTATAGCTAACTCCAGATAACAGAGTCCCACTGTGTTTAGTTGCCTAAATGGACCATGTGACCTTTTTTATAGTTTTTGCCAATGTCTTCTTGGGTTTTCTCACCTCCCTTTCCACATAGGCATCCTCATTAAATCAAGAACAACCAATTAAAAATTGTTTGCACAGGATATTCCACAGTTTTAAAACAAAGAAAGTAATTAAGGAACTCATTAGCATGCTTTCTAATGCAACGGAACATATACAATAGGCAAAAAAGATTTTTATAATCAAAGTACTAAAGTTATTATCAACGCTTTGTGACCTAAGAAAAGCTGCATAAAATTTGACTATTTTTTAAGAAATATAATAATGATATACAAGTTCAGTAGAATAAAGAGACAACTTACTCCAGGATAATGTTTCAATATTGGGGAATAATGATCAAGCGCTATGTATATTTTCTCGAGAAGGCCTAAAAGTACTCCTACCTCATCACCCAAGAGATCCACCTACAATACAAGAAGGAAACACAATAAATACTAATAATCTACCAAATAGCAAAGCTCTATTATAAATGCAATCCATGATACTCAATGATCCTCTCTAGTTTGGTTCAAGCTACATAAAATGCATACCACTAATGCAAAAACTTATATGGGTTAATTTATGTAATAATTGAACCTTGAGCCAAAAGTCAACATTTATTTTAAAAGGCCCAGTCATAATATCTATCTATTGTTTTTTATCAATGAAAACCTTCACAAGGGAAGAAGATTGAGTTCTTTGTCCTCTTCCATTTTGCATTTCTTACTGTTTAATGATGTGGGATCATAAAACATATATTCTACACAACAGTGCATAGTCCATTAGGTGATGAAATAAAATATAAAGTGCTCACTACCATATCGCTCCACTACCCTTTTGGTAGTTTTCTTCCCAAACTATTACTGATCAAATAAGGGAGAAAGAAAATTCATATATAAAATGTCATTACTTATACTGTAGAAGATATCTCCAGCTTGGTTTATCATTATAAAAAATGCAAGCCATGCATAGTTATTCCTTATGAAATTCATTTTACAACATCATATATGGTTAAAGCCATCACAGAATGGAATGCTTTAATCTTTCCAAATTCTAAACTTATGTAAACCTTCTGACATTCACATACCTCAGTTTCAGCTTTGTCAAGGTCAGAACATCTCCTTTCAAGATTCTGCTTATATTGCAATTCCTTTCTTTTCAGTATATTGGCCGTCTGAATAAGAGAACCGGATTGCGAGCTCAAATTTTCCAACCTGAAAATTGACACATTTGATGTTAATAAATGCAATACAAAATTCCACCTCCAAATCAATGAAGGTACTTAGTAAAACAAAATAAGTGGATGAAAACTCAGTGGCAAAATATCAAAAGATCCAAAGACAATTCAAGTTAATATATATGAAAATAAATTTGACCAAAGGACACAAGGTCGCACTTGCACACCAATGAAAGGTGAGGAAATAGACCAGAGTGAAAGTTAATTTAAAAAAAAAAAAATCCAAATGAGCTTTAAGTTGATGGAAAAACAATCAACACATCGCTATCCCCACCATAGAGTTCTGAATGGGCTGATTTAAAAAAACATTTTGACCTTTTTGCATGAAGGTTGGGTTGAGGGGTTGGTGGGCTACCTCAGTCAATTGTGGAATTAAAAACTGACAGACATCATAGACAAATAGCAACAACAGGTCATTTATATCACAAAATGAGAGTTCTCTTAATTAGTTCAGTTGATGAGCTTAAAAGTGATAAGAATGAGCTTAATCTAACTTTTCTTGACAATATTAACCAGTTTTTTGAGTATTAGCAATCTGGAAATAGCAGTACACTAGAAACTAAAATTAATGAATTCAAATGTCAATACTTATATGCCTTTTCTCCACAAGTCTTGAGGTAGAGACAGAGCTTAAGTCAATCTTCCTTTCTTAAGCAACCCTAGCATGAGTGAAAATCCAATACCATATATTGTGAGGAAAACAATGCAGTTCAACAGTTACAACCACAATGAGAAAACCTAGGATAAAATTCATTTGGTTGGGGAGCACACAACAGTTTGGTAACTTTAACTTAAGCGTTTCTTTCCGCTTATAACCTTCTATTCATTGGTAAGGACAGATAACATAGAACCTAGACAATTTTCTGCCTCTTATAGCAGAAAGAGTGTGATGAGACCCACCAACATCCCAAAAGACTTCTCTGAGCATCCCTTGAAAGAAAATCTATCAATCGGGAAATGATAAAAAAGGCAACAGTGGTTGGGAAAGTACCTTAGATTACTCCTCTTCATATCTTCTGCTACTCGACATTCAAAACCAGCAACTGCCTTAGATAGTCCTTCAACAAGAATACATATTGATTCCATCTGTTTTCTATGCTCACTTTCATTTGCTTTAACTGATGATAAACTACACTCCTTCTCTTTGGCAGCAACAAGAAGCCTCCTTCTCTCATCATTGCTTTCCCTCAAATCTTTCACTGCCTCGTCAAGCTTCAGATTTAATTCACATATCTCCACTTTATGTCGTTTAAGTTTCTCCAATGCTTGAAGGAGATCAGTTTTCAGAACACTGGATTCTTCATTGCACTTAGAAATCATCATTTGCTGCTGGTTTGTCTGATCCCATATAAAGTCAAGCTCTTGAGAAGCCACCATAAATTTCTCCTTTTCTCTTGCCAATGCAGCTGCCATTTCATTAAGCAACTTCTCCTTTTCATCATCCACTGATGCCATTAGGAGCATACGTTGCTGCAGTTTTTCCTTCTCTGCAGCTTCCAGTTTTAGTACCCTTTCCTTCTCAAATGCATCCAAACCTAAGTCATGGACTTTCTCCTTGGCTTCTGTGAAGGCTTCTCTGAATATGATCATGCATAGTCCTTCCATAATTGAAGACTCTAAATCAGAATCTTCAAATTCACTCTTGCAGGCATGTGACATATTGCAAGAAGCATCTTTGAGTATAAGGTCATAAATTTCTTTCATAATATTATGCTCCATCTCTGAATCTTCACTGATCCACTTATTCTGACAGATTGCCTCTTTGATGAAGCAATTATATACATCCCCACTAATGGTAGCTTCAATATGTGCATCTTCAACAACAGATTCAAGGTTTTCTACCTTTTTTAGTAAGTTTTCCTCAGTCAGAGAGTACTGTGACATTTTCTCTATGGCATCAGAAACTTGTGAAGAAAGGCAGTTAACTTCCTTTTTCTTATCGGAAAGTGAGTCTCTCAGTTGATGATTTTCTGAAAGCAGGGATTCTAATTTGTCCTTCAAAATTATAAGATTCTCATTATTATTACTTAACAATGGAAATTTTTCATTTTCCACAAGAATCCTATCCAATTTTACAATGACATCTGGGATCTTTTTCCTCAAGACATCAAACTCCTTATCCTTCCTAGATGGCAGAGAAGAGCCCCTTTCTTTCAAGTACTCCCGTTTGAGGCTAAAATATTTTTCAGTCATCTCTTGTAGCTTGTAGTCATGGTTCCTCTTCATTTTTGTCATCTCAACCTTGAAAAAATTCACCAATTCTTCTTTTGACATGTGTGTTAGTTGCGCAGCATCCAAATTTTCTGGCACGGTAATTACTAACTCTCCATGCTTGCCATTTCCTTCCCAAAGTGAATCAGACAAGGAAACATGATTCCCTGAAACCTTTTGATGCAAATGATCAGTCATTTTATAGTTACTCAAATCACCATTGATTTCCAATGAACTATAAGAATTCAGCATCCCAGTTTCAGGATTAGACAGTGATTTAGAAATGCCATCTAATTCCTGACGCAAACTGGAAATATCATTGATCTTCTCAATCCAATTTAGATTTTCATTAACGTAGCATTGAGCACTTTGATCCCATAGTCTTTCTTCAAATTGTTCCTTCAAACTCCGAATACAAATTGTAGCCACCATATGGTCAACTTCTTCCAGATATTCTTGCTCCAGCTGCCATTGACAGAGTGATTCCTTGAATGAGTAAACAATATCATCCACTTGCCCATAAACAGAGTCCAGGGTTATTCTTAAGGAATCAAGGGTTTTATCCACATCAATCCATTTTTTGGGTTCCTCCTCTTGCAAAATACCACCCAATCCCACCATCTTAGAAACTGAATTAATCTTATGCCCTCTGATTTGGTCAATTTCTGTCCTGAGATTCTTAAACTGCCCTTTAGCTGTATTTTTAAGACAGCCAAAAGATTCTTGTATCTTGTCATGCTCAAATAAAGCATTTGACAATCTTGGAAATACACCAAGTTTTGGTTCATGGTGCTTCATTAAAGATCGTAAAGGTTTGTTTTTATTTGAACCAACATGGTAAGGATTCACCATTTTCTTCAACCTCACTATTTCCAACTCTTTTTGAGCAATCCTATCAGCTGCCTCTTGCTCAACAGCATTGACCATGCCCCTGATGACTGAGTCACTCACCATCCTAGAAATGGTCAATCGATCCTTGATGTCTTCCACATATAAATCAAATTCATCGAGAAAGTCAACATCCAATTCCTCAGTGTCTTTTACAGCATCCCCAGTGTGCACCAACCCATGATTAGATGCATCACAATGTGAAATGAAACTAGCATTTACATCTCTACAGCTCTCCATAGCCATTCCAAAATTGCTTCCCACCAGCAGGATAAAACTGCCAAAAAAGAAAAGCGGAAGTAAATCAATTGTAACTACACATATTGCTCAAGATCATAATAAGTTTCTAAGCTTCCATGAGCCAAATAACTGAAATTTTTTTCTTTTTGGCCAAAAGAAATTGAAAATAACTGAATTTAAAACAAAATTGTTTTCTTACTTATAGTCAACAACTTCATAAAAATCCAAAATTTATCAGTTTACCAAATTGAGCTCAGATTTTCAGAGTAAAACATGAAGAAATTAGCTGCAAAGCTTCAAATTTCAGCTCTATTTCCTTTCCAAATTCATTCTTAACAGTCAAACAACGGCAATCAGCTCAAAGTCAAAATTTTCAAAAACAGAATTCTAACCAAATTAACACAATTTGACAACTTTTGACACCCAAATTTGAGCTAAAAACATTCGTAATATATTGCATTTAAACAAGAATTAAACGTGAGGATGAATTACCAAGAAATTCAAGCTTAATATTCTAAGACACAGTTAAAAAAAAAAAAAGCGTAGAATCGCAAAAAGGAACACAATTAAAAGAAGGAGCCAACTTACAAATTTTGACACAAAATTAAAGGTGAAAAAGAGTATTCTGAGTTAAAAGCTGCTCCATTAAAAGCCGTATGCTTCTTTTTTTTTTTTTTTTTGTGGTGTTTAGGGTTTCTGAGAAAATAGACAAAACGAGTCGGACACGGTGAGCGGGAATGGAAGGGAAAATAATACAATGAACCTTAAAATTAGATTTATTTACATAATCTGCCATCGGGACATGACATGAGGGTATTTTTTTATGAATTAGAGAGCTGAAAATAAATTATTACAACAAAATTCGATTGACTTTTTACATCTGTTTGCTTGTTCGAATGAAGTCTTAGAAGTCCTGTCATACACAATATATTTATATTTATATATATATATTTAATTATTTTTTAAAATATATTTTGAAAAATATGTTTTATGTTACTAATTTTGGTTCTAAAATTTTAAAACTCTAATTAAAATGAATGAAATAATTTATATATATATATATATATTATGGATGTAATCGATCGAGTTTAAATCGATACAATATTAAACATAAGTTCGAGCTCGATTTAAAATTTAATGTTCGAAACTTGACTCAAACTCGATCGAATTTTATTTTTTTAGTTCAAACTTAATTCGAAATAAAAATCGAGTTACTCGAACTTATTCAATTAAGTTTGATTAATATGTAAAAATAAGCTTAATTATTATATTTGACAAAAACTCGATTATTTGTGCTAAGTTCGAATTCGAGATATTTTATTAATTAAAATAATAAAAATATATTTAAATATAAATATTTGATTAGATTCATGAACAACTCAAATTGAATATAAAAAATATTTGAATTCAATTCAATCGATGAATCGAGCTATTTGAACTTAAATTTGATTTAATAATAATTGAATTGAATTTAAATTTTATTCAAATCAAATTCGAATAACTTGTAAATATTGATAAATCATTTATACCTCTATTATACTCAGTCAAATAAATAAAATGTAATATTTTAATGGAAATGAATTGCACATGTACTGGATTAGGTGAGTTAGAGGAGAAGCTCCTTTCTTTAAAATTTCAACTTAAACCTTAAAATATAAAGGAAAATCAAAATTTATTTATGCATTTTAAATATGATCTTATGAAAAATTATTTTTCATGCAGCAGCTGAATAAAGTGAATTTCAGCTAATTAATTAGCTCATCCACCTTACTAGGAATGGCCTGAATCAAATTTGGCTCAAATAACTTAATGAAAGTGGTCAAGGATGATGGGAAAATAAGATCTTCTTACAGTCTTCTCAATGATCTTTGTTTAGAACTCCATTGGAAAAGTTTCATAATATCCAATGGCATAGGTTTTCATGATGATGGCTATTCTTGTTAAGAAATCAAATACACATATTTAGCAGTTCAAATCATATATATTAAGCCTTAATTTCACATATATATATTTTTTTATATTGTCATTTTCACTTACATTTATTGAACTTGAAATTTTAAAAAGAATCTAATTCACCTTTGTATCTCCATTTCACGTAATAAAATGATATTATCATATATCTGTTAAATTTTAAAAATTTTATATTTAAATTGAAAATTTTCATTTATTATTAATTAATTTTAGGTTGAATATTAAACATGCTATCAAAGATTAGATTTATTCCACTCCTCTTGCTTGTTGTCCATTCTGACATTGTCACGTGAAGGTCTTTCTGTTTTAGTTGACAACATTAATTTTGCCGATTCAAGTAGTCAAGGAGTTCAAATTTTTTTAAGTAAAATTTTAATATCGAATTTTATAAATAAAAAAGATTTATTTTTTTATAAAATTTGATTCGATTTAATTTTAAATTGAACGATATCGAAAATAACTATCGTACACCAAATTTCCTTACCAAACAAAATAATAAGCCTACACCTGATGGGGCACTTTAAATAGTGTTATGAAACCCATTAAGTCTTTGTCTTTTTTTTTGTCTTATAACATTATATAAAGATTTAATTATTAAATTATTTAAAATTATGTTCAAGTGGACATGTCCACCTTATTTTGCAATTTCGGTAAAAAAATTTTTAATTAATTGAATTCTTACTATTTGTAATAAAGTTTATTAACATGTTTTGTAATTACTAAAAATATTTATATTATATATTATATTCTTATTTTTTTATTAATGTTTCATTTATCTAACAAACTAAGAAATTTCTTAACTTTGATGATAATAATAATAATAATAATAATAATAATAATAAAATAATTATTACTTTTATGATCCTTTGAAATTATCTTTTTATTAGAATAAATTGTAAGAACTTCTTTACACTTTTAATAAAGTTGATTTTATAATTCTTCGATTTAAGAAAATATTTAAAATTACTTATTACAAATTTTAAAATAATTTCATCATTGGAGATTTTTCAAATAATCATTTTTTATTATTAACTCTCTATCTCTTTAGTATTTAAAGTAACATTAAAATAAATATATAAAGAAAAATTAAAATATATATAAGAAATGAAAATATTTGTAAAAAATTGAATAACTTTTTTTAATTAAAAATGGAATAAAAATAATTACTTAGGCTCCATTTTTTAAGGGAAAATGAAATAATTATTTTTCATTTAGTTCACAAAAAATTATTTTTATATTTTTTAATATTTTTTTAACAAAAAACTAACTAGTCAACAAGAAATGATTTATTGGTCCGCAAAAAATGTTGTTATTTTTTTGAAAATTATTTTTTTTTGAAAAATATAAAATAATTTTCAGAAAAGCACTGTTTATGGGTAAGATTATTTATCAAGTTCGTGAACAAAATTCTACTCAAATCAAATCTTGAAATAATTTTTTTTAAGCTCTAACTTTATTTGACCCTACCTAAATATTATTATATTAATAAAATGTTGCTTAAAATTTTAAAATTAAAAATATTCTAGTATTTTAATTTTAAAAATATTTTTATAGTTCTATTCAAGTAAGACCATGAACATAACATTTTAAACTTAAGCTTGATTTAACCCAATATGAAATATTATTATATTAATAAAAAACATTTTTGTTCAATTTTAATGAAAAAAATAAAATATTAACCATAAAATTCTTTTGATAATTATAATTTTAAATATATATTTTGTATCTCATTAAACATAAATATTTTTAATATTTCAATAATAAATAATATTATTTTATTAATAAATAATAATATATTAAATATCATTTTTATTATTTTAATAATATAATAAAATGAATATTTTCATAATAAAACAATATTATTTTCATAAAATGAATATTTTTAATAATTTATTTTTATTTGTTAATTTAAAATATATTATTTTTATTTGATTTATTAATGTATTTAATTTATTTTTTAACAATAAATATAAATAAGTAATAGTTTTGTTGTGATTTAATAATAGATACTTTCAATACAAAAATAACTATTTTAATAGTATAAATATTTTAATAATAAATATTATTATTTTAAATATTATTATATTAATAAAAATAATATTTTAAGAATTATAATACTATTTTAAATGTTTTAAAATATCAACACGAATGTGAAATATTTTTATTTTAAGCATTTTTCATATTCACATAATACTTTGATATTACACATTAGTGCTGAAATATGATTTTTTTAATATTAATAATTTTAATAATAAATAATTTTTAATATTTTAACACTTATATCAATATTATTTGAAAAAAAAAATCATAACAAAATCAAATAACAAAAAATATTTTTCATTGGCTCATCTAAATTATAAAAATCTCTATATTTCAAAAAATGTAAATATTTTTTTAAAATTTTGTTTTGAAAATCAAATTTACGAAACAAAAGAAACTTTTATATTTAGAATTGGGGTTGTTTACATAAAATGTGTTAAAGATCTACCTTGGATTTATTTACTTAAATTCGACTAAGTCGTTATTAACATATTTTTTTAGAGATTTATTTTAATCTAAAAAAATAAAATCGTAATCCATTTATCGCCTCAAAGCCAACAAAATTTAATTAAAACATTGATCCAACTATTTAACATATAGACTACAAGCATACAATGAACCTATCATAGACGTACAATCGCACCACTCATATCTCAAATCCAAACAAACTCATAAAAAATAAACATTTGTCACTTTTCTAGGATGATCCATAAGCAATAAGAAAAGGAAAATTATTAAAAAAGAATGTCAGCTACCTCTTACATATTTATTTTTATTTGGCCCATCATCGAACTAAGCATATTAATATGTAAATTTTATTTATTATTGAAAATGAAAGGGTGATCTCATATGAATGGATCACTTTATTTATTATTGTTTTTTTTTTGTAACCGTCCTTAATCTTATTTGCATTTGGGGCGGTTGATGGCGTGATGTAATTTTTTAACCTTTTTTTTTTAAATTTAAGAAAAAGTAATTTTCAAATCTTTGTTTTTTAGTAAGAGAATTATGTTCTTTAACGAACTATGGTTAAAAATTTTTTTTGTAAAAAAAAAATAGATAAATAAATTATTTATTTTTTTATATTAAAATAATATATATCATACTTAATAATTTAAAATAAATAATTATAAATCGTGTATTCGATAAAATTTTAATAAACTATCATCGATAAGATTCAAATATAAAATTTTTTCATTAAAAAAAAACCTTAACCAATTAATAAAAATTTTCACTAATTAAACTAATCACTTAATTAATTATAGTTAAAATTAACCGAAAGAGTTCGGTCTAATTTACGTTCTAACGCACGTGAATGCTAAAGGCAGCGACTTTAGCAGTCGCCTTTCACTACTCGAGAAACAAAGAGACCACGTCACCGTATTTTTTAAGTTTTTAATCGACTACTTAGAATGTCTGAGGTCACAACTTATTTATAATTAATTTTTTCTTTTAAAATTTACACGGAAGTCTATTTTTTAGAATTACTTAATAATTGTCTTCATCTCACATATTTATATAAATAAAAATGCCCTTATATAATATTGATATTTTTAAAATAAGTGATTAATTTAATTAATTAAGATTTATCTTTTATGGTAAAAATTTTGGGTTCAAATTTTATCAATAATCGCTTATTAAAATTATTTTGAATATATGATTGTAATTATTTGTCTTAAGTTGTCAGATATGACACATATTACTTTAACATGAGAGATTGAATAACTTATTTATTCTCGAATTTTTCTTACAAAAAAAATATTTTCAAAATATACTATTATCATTTTTTTTTCTTAGTAA